GGCCTTGAACATCCTCAGGCTTTGCATCTCGATCTGACCAGGGCTGATCCAGTAGTCCTGTGGCAAGTGGCGGAAAAAAACAACGGCCCCGATACGACGAGAGTGTCTTCGTGCTGCCGGGCGGCGACAAGGGGGCAGTCAGTCAGCTGCAGCTGCTCAGGCAGCTCCTTGAAGAACATCTCATACAGCAGAACCCTTGGATCGTTGTGCGGTTCGGGCGACCGCAAGCGGCCGCAGGACCTAGACCTTAATTTTTGGCCAAGACACTCAGCCTTCACGACTCATGAGAAACGCAAGGAGGGCAGGCCCGCTGAAGCCGGTGAAGTACACGTGGGGCTTCTCAGACCGTGTATTCCCGGGTTTGTTGCGAAACAAGACGTTCGACATGGACATGTTCAGGCTGGAGTCCACCAGGCGGTAGAAATGCCACGGCCCTGAGGCTGCCACTGTGTCGTTTAATTAGGGATCACAATTATTTCAGCTTCAGCAACCCCACAACTCCCTGTCCTTCGGCAGGCCCACGATCATCCTCAGTCTTGATGTACTCTCCCGCATGCACGTTCAGCTTGGCCTCGAAGAAATCCATGGTCATTGTTTTCGGCGGCGGCGGACGCAAGATGGTCTGAACCGGAACTCGGAACAAAGGGGCTCCTGTCGCTCGTCCGTCAGTCGCCACGTGCGAGATGATCCTGTCCGTCATAGCCGACGTTGGGTCATGGACCGTCAGGCGAAGGAACTTTGTGCTGCACCCCATGAACTTCATGATGTTTGTGGAACCAGTCCACGAGCTGGAGCCGGAGGCCGCCGACACACTGACACCGTCAGCCTCCGCAGTCTTCGTCTTCCTCCTCGTCTTCTTCTCAGGCATCGGCGGAAGGGCATCGCTGACTTTCAAGTCCAGCCTTAGTTACCAGACTGCCAATAAACTAAAGAAATTACATGACCGAATCACGTTTTTCGATCAAGCCGCTTTCTGGCTTCAAGCCTTGCCGCTGCGACAAAGCACGCCTCGGGCGAGTCAAAAAACTCGTAGTGCTGCATCTGGGCCGCCTTGACGTCGTCCCGAATGGCAAAGCCGAGCATGGCGAAGGACAAAACAGCACGCGATCCGTCACAAGGAATTTCAGGCAGCTGGGGCCGATGCAATATCAGGCCGGGCAAACGATGACAATCATTCAGGCTCAAGCAGAACCACGGAAGCAAGGGGAGTGCCAGTCTGAGGCCGCAACTCCCCAATCACACGGTGGAGCAGCAAGTCGAAAGTGAAAGATACCTCAGAAGAGCGGTGCTTGCAGGCATTCACGAAAAAAACTTTGCAGCCACTACTGCTTCAGAGACAGTCACCAGCACAGGTCAGAGGCAGAAGAACATCAGCAAATATTCGCACCCTGGCCTATACCGTGTACTTGCAAAGTCGTATGCAGTGATTGAAACAGATTAGGAATTCCTAATTACTCTGATTTCCGTGCTTCAGTCAACATCATCACACAAAATTTTAAGAACCAAGATATACCTAAAGCCTCCATGAGTGTACAGCTTGCATCCGTCCTAATTCCGGCCATAAGGCCTTTGACTGAAACACACACCGACGCCCAAACCATTGCAGACAAATCATCTTGGACACACAATTGCTTCACAAAACGCAGTTAACTGCCAACAAAAAAACAACCCGATGGCACTGAAGACATATCTTCTATCCACTTGACTCATAGGAACCCTATTAGATGCAATTTTTTTATGCGGCAATAATTACACTCCATAGTGGAATCTGTATTAGGTGCATTATACTTTGTCTTCAGTGCAACAGTGCTGCACTGAAGACAGCTGTAATTGCACTGAAAACAAAAGCCCTTGAGTATATTGCTAATGACACTCCATAGTGGAATCTGTATTAGGTGCATTATACTTTGTCTTCAGTGCACCAATGCTGCACTGAAGACAGCTGTAATTGCACTGAATACAAATCCAATATAACTATTTTTACACTAATTAAAATTACACTCCATAATAGAATCTGTATTAGGTGCATTATACTTTGTTTTCAGTGCAGCAATGCTGCACTGAAAACAACTGTAATTGCACTGAATACAAACCCACTATTAATATACTTCCCTAATTGCATTCCATATTGGAATTTATATTAGGTGCATAATGCTTTGTCTTCAATGCAACAATGTTGCACTGAAAACAATTGTAATTGCACTGAATACAAACCCACTATTAATATACATCCCTAATTACATTCCATAATGGAATTTATATTAGGTGCATAATACTTTGTCTTCAATGCAACAATGTTGCACTGAAGACAGCTGTAAGTGCACTGAATACAAACCCACTATTAATATACTTCCCTAATTACATTCCATAATGGAATTTATATTAGGTGCATAATACTTTGTCTTCAATGCAACAATGTTGCACTGAAGACGGCTGTAATTGCACTGAATACAAACCCACTATTAATATATTTCACTAATTACATTCCATATTGTAATTTATATTAGGTGCATAATACTTTGTCTTCAACGCAACAAGGTTGCACTGAAAACAACTGTAATTGCATTGAAAACAAACTAATTCCATTAAAATACTGATCCAATTACATGTATTGCAGTCCAGCTAGAGTGTTTGTTACATGCACGCAATTGCATTTGAAATCTATAAACAAATGTAAAACACTAATTGCATTCCATAATGGAATCTGTATTAGGTGCATTATACTTTGTCTTCAGTGCACCAATGCTGCACTGAAGACAGCTGTAATTGCACTGAATACAAACCCACTATTAATATACTTCCCTAATTGCATTCCATATTGGAATTTATATTAGGTGCATAATACTTTGTCTTCAGTGCCACAATGCTGCACTGAAGACAGCTGTAATTGCACTGAATACAAACCCACTCCTAATGGATTACAATGATTCCACTCCCTGCTAGAGTTTCTATTAGGTGCATAATAATTCGTCTTCAGTGCAACACTGCTGCACTGAAGACAACTCTGATTGCATTGAATACAAATCCAATAGTATTAATATATTGCTAATGTCCATAGCATAGCTGGTAGCCGTCAATGCATAGGGATCCGCTTTGTCGTAATTCATTGAATAATGATAAAATAATATTGCACTCCATATTGGAATCTGTATTCGGTGCATTACACTTCGTCTTCAGTGCAACAATGCGGCACTGAAGAGAGCCGTAATTGCACTGAATACAAATCTACTATTAACATGTTACACTAGTTACACTACACAGTGGAATCTGTCTTCGGTGCATTATACTTCGTCTCCAGTGCAACAATGCCGCACTGAAGACAGCCGTAATTGCACTGAATCTAATAGAAATTATGACTGAAATACCAAGTTACTATTTTTAAATTCTTTCCTTTATGAATACCGACTGCATAGTAGAACCCTATAATTCCACGTACAGGTGTTGCACTGAAGGTAGCCAATGATTGCAGCGACGATTACACATCTTTCTAGCTTTCGATTTGTTTGCTTGCCACTGGATTTCGTTCGATTGCAGCAATGCATGGCCACGATGCAAGACATGACAGCAGATTATTAAATGAAACGGTCAATCAAGTAGAATCCCCTCACCTCAGCAGGCTTCTGCCCTGATGGCTACAACATCCCAGCGAGTTTGATACATAAGAGTAGACAGACCCGCCAGGCATGCTCAATTCCGCCTCCAACCGCAAGGGCCACAGCACAAAACACGCCACGAAAGCAAGCAAGTCAATCAGACAGACGACTAGGCGGCCTCCCCAATGGTCTTTTCAAACACCGGTGTTTGCCCGAGAATGCCAGACAGATTCACCCCCACTCGGCCAAGGTGGGTTCCGCCAAAATGAAGGGGGTCGGAAGTTTCTGCCTTTCTGGGTCCCGCCACTGCCACGCCGCAGGCTTATCCCATACTTGCAGATTCATAGCTTCCGATGACCTGGTATGCTCCGGCAATAACTCCACCGGACAATGACAGGTCCCCCCCCCTCATTGTCTGCCGCCATTGGCAGACCGCAGGCTAGTAGCCCTGCAGGTGTGACGGTGGGGGCCACGGTGGGTCAGCGAATCAGCACAAAGAACAAACGCAGCCCCGAACCCGAACTGCCTCCGCCCGGCCCCAAGCAGCAGCAGAGTCAAGCGGCGGCAGCAGAAGCAGAAGCAGTCGTCTATGTGCAAAGATGATTCCGCACGTGCCACGAAGTCCGGAATCAGGCTTCGGTACAGAAACATGTTACAACGAGGAGTCCAGGAATTGAATTCAGTCAACAAGTGCAGAAGCATCAAGTGTGCGACCAGCGACAAGTGTCTGAGTTGAAAGGCTGGTCTCACTAGTTCCGTGCAGCCCCCTCTTCCAAGGTTTGGCCCCGTCCGCCGGTGACCCCCCCCCAAGCGGCAGCAGCACCAGTAACAGCACCGGAGTCAAGTGGCGGCAGCAGCAGCAGTCATGGCATGAGCAAAGATGATTCCAACTTCGGCCAAGACCACGTGTGCCAGAAAGTCCGCATGTGACACAACTGACAAGGATTCATTTCAATCGACAACTGGACGAGAAGTACGGAAGCAACAGCAATTTAGACAGTGTGACAGGTGCGACCAGTGATAAGGCATCTGAGTTCAAGGCCTGGTCTCAGTCGACGTATCCCTCCCAATCCAATGTCAGGCCAGCTCCTCCGGATGCAAAATGCTTCTTGTAATCAAGAACAAGATAAGTAAGACTCGCCTGCCCAATGCCACCAGGAAGTCGTGCTGTGCCCTGACAAAAACAAAAGTATCAGGCCAGGCAGCTGCACATGTGGACATGCCCGTCTGAGCGAGAGGCCATCGCCGAGCATGACATCCGACCCAACCTCGGGCACGGCAACTCTCACAATGCATGTCAGACGCAGTACTCAGTGACTCAGTACACGCCCGCACTGCAAAGCCCATTTTTCTCTTCTCAGGCGGAAGACCACTCACCCCTCAGTCATCAGGCAGCCTCAGACTCAGTCAGGCCCATGCCCTGGAATCTTCGTCCTCGTCGCCGTCCTCCTCCAGCCACTGAGACGAGGATCGCCAACGCCAGCCCGAGCCGTGCCAATTCTCAGACGACCACTGCTGCCGCTCAGACGTCCACTGCTGATTGTCAGACGATGTCCATGGCTGCTCAGACGTCCTTGTCGTGGAGGATGCCGCCCCGCCTTGCCCTGTTGGGCCATTCCATGGGGCGGCTTCGGCAGTCCGTGCACTGGTGCTGCCCGTGTCAGCAGGCACGGTCCCAGCGGCCCCCGTCGTCTCGTTCTCAGACTGGCCATTCTCAGACGACGACCACGGATCTCTCGGATCCGGGATTGGACGGCGGCCTTCTCCAGCTGTGCGATCTCGGACGCTTTGGCGAATTTTCCTCCATGAGGAGTGCTCCGTCTGAAGCCAGTCAGACTTCCTCAGTGAGGGAATAAAAGTTGAAAGTGTCAGAATCGACTACATTAGTTATCAACCCCGAAAATGGAAAAGTTTACTATACAGCCAACAAGTTTCTCCCTGACGTGCTTCATCACCAACTTGGAGGCGGTGACGTTGGTGAAGCTGCTGTCCCACACCCACTCGCCTGAAGTTCAGGCAATGAACAGCTTCCAGAAAAGATACCCCCCAAAGTTGAAAGACGAGCCACGTGTCAGAAGGACGGTGGTTCGATGAGCATACGCCGGGGCATTCGGGTGCGGGTGCAGCAGCAATGAGACCAGGCCCTTGGATGCAACATGCACCGCTGGAACTTTTCGCATGCTGGCACATCACATTTAATTGTCATTGTAGCTGCAGCCGAGACTCAGCTTTGGCTGCCATGTCGACGCCGCACTTGCAGCAAACCCAGAGGAGGTCAGGCGCACGGTCATGCAAAACAGAGTGCACCTTAGCATTCGCCCTTGCCTTTCAGCATGGTGCTTCACATCGGACTCGGACCAGAGGGCACTAAAGATGCAGCCGGATTGCTGCCCGGTCGGCCTCAGCCTCATGCTCGTCGTACCACTGGGACAAAGCAAAGACCTGGTTGTCAAGCCGCGGTGGTCTGCCTAAGTAAGGCAGGAAGTCATTGGCCATGGTCAGTTTACATTTCAGACATCCCACTTCAGCCGAGCGACGAGGCAAAGCACTGATGTTCATCTTATCCTCCATGGCAAGCCTCCGCATCAGGCTTGCCCATAGAGCATGGTCCTTCTCCTGCTCCGTGAGTGCTGCCATGGCGGCGAGGCTCAGGCAGGCTACCAAAAGTTTTGGCCTACCCTAAGGGTTTAACCCAACATTCATAAATCAGACCTGCAAGCTGCCACAACCCTGGCTTGCCATGCCATGTGACAGTGATCTTGATCCACGGCACACAGGAATAAAGTTAAAGGCAGCACGCATGGCATCAAACACATGCCCAAATCCAGGCTGGCGAATCCACTTGACCGGGTCCCCCACAGACTCTGCAACGACGGCAGCTCGTCCACACGGTCAGGCATCCGAGACCTGTCGTGTATCAAGTGGGCAGTCATGGGAGGCAGGGTATTTAAGTCCAAAGCCAGAGGAACCGAAGGCAAAGTGAAAGATGATCACGAAACCTGAACCAGATGTTCGTGGATTTCCGATTCCTGGCACTGCAGGGGCACCGGTATGCTCAGGCCGCAGCTGCCCAGACGAAACAGAAGGAGGAGTCCTTCCCAAAAGCAGTCATGGCTCTGTGCACGTTATTGCAAAAAAGCTGGCAAAGTTGTGACAGTCAGTCAGCTCTTTTTTGGTCACTGCTCGCTGCAGCTGTACGACCAGGATCAGCCTGAATGACCC